GGAAATGCGCTAGTAAGCGCCACCCCGGCAGAAAAGCCGAGGAGGATTGACAATAGCAGAAGGAACGCGCCGTTTTGGACCTGAGAGAAATTTTCGTTTAAGGAAATCGATGCGTGACGAGCCGCGTTGTAATTCTCCGCGAAGTTGGCCGCGAAGTACCGACCAAAGATAAGTTCAAGTGTATTTCTTGAGTGCAACCATCTCGTGTGGCATATGCCGTGAGAAGCAATCATCCATCGGAGTGTGAGTTGTTACGGAGGGCCGAGCCTGAAGAGCGCAAGAGAATCGTGGTTAACGCCAATTTGTGCTTGAATTGTTTTCAAGCTGATTATAAGTTTGCACATGTATTAAGAAAGRCTGCTGCAGAAAAGYGCAAAGGCAGKCATTGTGAGTTGTTACATGTGAAAGAGGCCGTTGCAGAAGGTGCAACGGTGGGCATCACGWGTTTGCGTATCCAGGCGGTATCGGAAGTGCATGATGCACATGTAAAGCTCAATCACTCGCGTGCACTTGTGATGCTGCGGCAGTGGTGCATTTGCTAGATCTTGATGGCAGACCGCACAGGCGTCTTGGTCTCTTGGATTCAGGTTCCGAAGCGCATTTTTTAATGATCTATATGATCTATTTTCGGGAATTTTGTACGAATATCCAAGCAAGTCATGGACGTACCAATATTTACTTTGAAATCGCGAGCAGAAAATTGCGGTAGAATTGAAATTTTTATTATCTCCAGTTGTAACGAATCGGTTACCCTCGCAACGAATTTCGCAAGAAGAATTAGTTATGCCGGCAGAGATCCATTTGGCAGATCACAAATTTCATGAGACCGCGAATATCGACGCGAGTCTCGGTGTCGAGAATTTTACATTACTATGACGCTCAGGTCAGAGCATTAGATTGAATGAAAGTTAATGGCACCAGGAACTGTGTCAGGATGGCTCGTTATGAAAACAGGAGCCACGCGTAGTTCGCGGAGCGTTAACTGCTACACAGATACAGTAGAATTGAATTGATTATTGGAGAAATTTTGGAAGATTGAAGAAGTAACTAAGACTAGTATTAGGTCGCACGAGGAAAATTTGTGCGAAGTGCATTATAAAAGCCACATGCGACGGGATGATACAGGCAGATGTGTAGCAAGGCTGCCATTCAAGGAAGAGAATCAGTTAGGCGATTCGTACGCGAGCGCGTTGCGAGGATTTCATGCGTTGCGAGGATTTCACGCGTTAAAGCGGTTATTGTCGGGCGAGCCGGAAATTAGAAATGAATACATTAAATTCTTATCCGAATATGAAGAACTAGGTCACATGACAAGGATAGAAGGGGGACCCCACGAAGATACATTCTATTTATCGCATCATGCTGTATTAAAGCATACTAGTCTTACGACCAAATTGCGAGTAGTGTTCGACGCGTCGGCAAAAACCAGCAACGGGAAATCTTTGAATAAAGTATTAATGGTTGGTCCGACCATACAGGAGGATCTGTTTACACTTTTAGTAAGATTTAGATCACGCGCTATCGCTATTACCGCGGACATCGCGAAGATGTATCGGCAGATAATAATGRAYCCGCGCGATCGCAAATACCAAACTATACTTTGGCGTCGACAGGAAAATGAGTCCGTGAAAGCATATAGATTAAATACAGTAACTTATGGAACCGCCTCCGCGTCGTTCTTAGCAACGCGTTCTTACCAACTCGCGAGCGACGAAATTCACCGATTCCCGAGAGCCTTAAAGAGGATTTCTATGTAGTCGACTTGTTAACCGGAGCGCGTACAGTTAGGGAAGCAAAGCGAGTCCGCGACGAATTAATAAGGATAACCGCAGAGGCAGGCATGCATTTTCGGTAATGGGCGTTATCAACAGTATAAATAACTGGGAACTTATGAATTAAAATACAGAACGTGTCATAATATGTAAACGGGAACATTAAACAATAAAAAAAGGTTCATGTAAACATGCGTCCTATTTGACCTTGTTTCGAAGTCAAAGCCATTTTTGTGTTCTAATAATTTGTGACAATTTATCTTTATAGAAAGTGCTTGAAATAATCACTCTTGGTATCTAAAGGGTAGAACCAGATTTGCAGAGAAGGAAACCAAGAAGCACAGGTGAAAATAAAGGGATCCTTCATAAGAAAGGGATGTCTAATTATAAATTTAATACTCTCACAATTATGTGTAAAATAATAATATTAATAATGATAACAACAATAGTAATTATATATGCTAAATATTTGATTGGAGAAAAATTTTCTTTATATTTTCATGAAAAAGTGAAACAAGATTTTTATTTTTTATATTTTAAATGAAGTTTATTCAACTAAATGTCTGTCATTTCGTTCGATCACCTTTTTTCCTTTTTGAGGTAAAGTAATAATCCGTTGTAGTCTATGATTTCATCGACTTTTCCAATCATTGGTAGACCAGAGCGAGGTGAATTTTTTATATGAAAATTTCCAGATTGGAAACGCTTGTTTATCACATTTTGATACTGTATTGTGTCTATAAACATCACAAATTTTATTAATAACCCATCTCACCTTACTTTCTTTTGTAATAATATTTCAAAATGTATTGAATTTCTTTTTTATTTGCACTCATGTTCAAGACACTATAACTTTTAACTGGACAAACAAATATCATACATTTAAATATAAATTATTTTTTGATATGTTATCTTTCAAACACACGCAATTATTATTAAATCCAATAAATATCATCAATGTTATGCGATCCAAAAGCATCTGGTAACAAAATTCGAAGAAACTTTTTCCTCAATCAATTATACAACATTATAATTTATGTTTAAAATAATATGATAACGATAATGATAATATGATAATATAATACTGTGATACTAATAACATACATAGTGTAAGAAGAGCAACCCATTGCAATATAAAATGAACATTCGTAATGAAATTGACCAAGGGCTTTGGATAACTTAATGGGTTGAGTAGTCGCCTGAAAAGTAGAAAAACTCAGATTCGAGTCCCGGTCTAATTAATCCAACAATCAAATTTTTTCATAAATCCTACAGTAATGAATATTAAAGTGATTTACATTTAATTATGACTGTAGTTTTTTAGTAAAAATAGAGGTGGTTTACGTTAATTGAAAGAATAATAATTAAAATAACATTTGCTTTTATTTGAATTTTGATTCTTATTAACATTTGAAAATTGATTTTATAAAACTGCACATATATATATATTTAATTATATAAAAAATAGAACAAAAGGTTTAAGAAACATTGGAACGGTTTACTCTACCTTGAACAAAGCCAATCTGATATATAATAGCTGACCTAAATGAAGTGAAACAGGGATTGGAGAACACTTAGACGGCTCGAAAACCGATGAAATAAATTTTCGTTCAAAACACTTCTATATGATACAGCACTTCTTCCTATCATGGATTCCAATTAATCACCCTGAAAAAAAATTATTGCGATTCGCGTTTACCGAATGGAATGATGGAGATAATTTCTTTTTAAACTTGTACAGTATCATGTACAAGGGTTAGGCTACTTTTTCGATAATATAATAAGAGTCATGTATAGTACTATCCATACCTTTATGAATTCTTAATAGCTGCAGGTAATATAATTGTAGGAGTCACTTAAAATAGTAATTTGGAAACATAATGAATATGTAATTGTTAGAAAAGATAATGTGAATATAGTGAATTTGTTATCAGCCCTTTCAGTGGAATTTTTTTTTATAAATAAAAGTATAATTTTTTATATACCTGTCTTTTAAGTAATATTGAAAAAATGTTGCAAATATCATAACAAATATTTTGTTTCCATTTAAAGTGCCATTACGTATTGTACCTTGCTTTACGTAATTATCTTTCAACTACAGCGGATTCAATTTTTAACTAATCATTTTTTTAAATAATTGATTAGTTTAATTTTTTTATTTCATATACAAACTAAATATCTAAATTAAGTTAATAAATAAACGTTAGTAATAAATTTATTAATTTTATAAAAAAATAAAACAATCATCTCTGATTACAATCGAATTCAATATTAAAACAAGTAATATTAAGTAGTAATATGAAAATAAGACAAGTATATTCATCATCGTTTTATTTTGATAATACAACTTAGGTACACCCTTTTTAAAAAGGTCGCTATTGCGAATCGGTTAATAATGGCACATATTCTACTAATTTAAATTATTAATACAAAAGTTTGAAGAAAATGGCAGTGAAACTTAATATTGTCTCGAGGGCCATATTTTTCTTAGCATTGTCATATATGAAACGTTATAAACTTTTTTGAAATAAAAAAAAAGCTTTGTAGGTATTTATTGATTAACTGTACGAATATAATATATACAAATATATATATATATATTTAAAAAATATCTACAAAATATATATATATTTAAAAAATATCTACAAAATATATATATATTACCGGAATAGTGGAAAATCAGGCAATGTCTTTCGGACTTGTCCAAGCGTTTTTCGACAAAGTCGGAAATGTATTCATATCTCTCACATTTCCTAGAAATTCTTGAGAATGACAAATGAAAAGCTGGTAAAATAAAAAAGCAAATATAAAATATTTCGTTCTAAACCCGTTTATATATATATATATCTTCCGATACGATAAGGAACAAAAGATACACATTTTTCATGGAAATCTCTATGAATATTGGTCTAAACGTAATATAATCTTCTACTACAATAAGTAACAGTGGACCCTATATAATAACACACCTGCATTGACTAAGTTTCAGTTTATAGAGGTACGCGTAGTATAGCGGCACGCACAATCTCAATAATTCGCTAAGTGCTCGCTTTTCTGTGTGTTAATGTGTGGAGAGAGGGGGCATTGTGTGTGTGTGTGTGTGCCTGTTGTCCGATAATGTATTCTTTTCAATATTACCTAAATAGCATTTGGTGTTCTATAGAATGTCTAAGTGTTATGTTCAATGCTTAGGAAAAGTCAGTAAGAATTCTTCTGTTTTCTACATTGTTGACAAACGCTTTGCATTGAGAACAATGCCGGGAAATTGCTAACATTGGCTGATTTTCCACTATCCTGGTAACATAACAATATATATATGTATATATTTAATTTATATATATATTTTGCAGGTATGTATGATACATATTAGATTTATTCTCTACTGATCAATCTTCAAAATACAATTTTGTGAAATGTTTTCTTTTCGAATGAATTTTTTCAATGTCACCAAGGGCGGGAATCATTGATCGTGTGGTCTTTTAAGCAAGGTCTTTAGAAAAACTTGACGTTGGTTCGAGAAAGCTCGACGTTGATATTGAGCTTTCGATATTTCGTAACGATAGCATAGGGCTGATATTTCAGCTGAGGAAAGTATCCGTTTTCGTTCGATCAAATCGAACGTTCTTGTCATATAGAAATGTTTATTTAGAAAAAAACCAAAGAGAGAGAGAGAGAGAGAGAGAAAGAAAAGTCCTTATTTTGAATTCTTTTTTCCCTTTTCTTTTTTTTTTATTCCTCAATTTGCTTTTTCTTCTAAAATACAAGAAAAATTTTTCGAATTGCATTATTTGAAGTTTTGATCGGAGCGAACTAATTGTAAATTAATTGATACGGAAGTAGTCATCGAAGTGGAAAATTGATGTGTTGCATCAAACGATCTGTAAACATAGATATCCATTTGCTGATTATTCTCGTATAGTATCACGTTGCGTATTAGTATTGCGTATCATCCGTGTATGATCTATCACGATAAAAATGCATTTCAAATGTTTTATCTTGGTAAGTCATTATTTGTATTATTATGGTTATTATTATTATTATTATTATTATTATTATTATTATTATTAGGTGGTGTTAGGAATTCGAAAGCTTATTGCTGCAAATATCAAATCCCGCCAATGTTCCTGTTCCTGAGCAAGATCCCCCTTTCGCAACCCTCGTACATCATTTCGTTAACAAAAGGAGACCGGAGTACAAGAGGCTCAGATTTTTTTTAAACTTTGTACACTTATAGTAGTCTATGAAAATATAAATTGTACTTTTTTAAAAAAAAACGAGATCTTCAACCGTTTGCGAAACAACGAAATTAGAGAAATTTTACAAAAATTTTTATATTAAACTTATTTCTTTTTCTCGGTAGCTGCGCAGTCTCATATCTCTGATGTCGTCGGATCGATTCCTCGACAGGGAAACTTTTTTTTTCCTCAATTATTTTTCATTTTTTTTATTTCTTATATTATCCATTCTAATATTATCTTCTTACCTATGACTTGGTCTACCCAATGGTCTTTTTCCATTAGGTCTACCACTAACAATTGTATATTGATGTAATAATTAGCTGTTGTTTTCTTTAAATTATCTCGTGTCTTTAATCTGCCCATTCGACGACTTCTATCTGCATAAGATTGTATAATTGATGTAATTCTACGTTGTGTAGGTGTCAAAATTCTCCCGTTTAATCAGTTTTTTCTCTCGTCCAAAAATAAAATTCTTAATGAGAAGGTATCACAGGGAACTTGGACATAAAAAAAGAAGTAGAACTTAATTTAACTAAGTTGGACGTTTCGTCCCTTTATTAGGACTTCTTCAGCAACTTAATCTTTATAGTTCAGCGTCTTTTTTCTTTGAGTAGACATACATTTTTATTTTTATTTTTAATATTCAAAACACAAAACATCTAAACTTCGTTAAGTATTAGCCCGTTTTAATTTGAACACTCAACAAACTCCCGTTTCTTCATCGCGTTTAGCACCGATGATTTCTCG